TATAAAAAGAGAGAGAAACAATTCCAATTAAGATAATGAACTTCCAAACTATTGAATCTATTGTTAGTAGTGATGGAGATTAAAAAAGGAAACAAAAAACAAGATATCTATTAGAAAAAAGCGCGGAAGAATGCGTGCAGTTTTAGAGCTAAAAGCTAGTATCTGTTAACTGTAGCATAGAATCCATCACGCTGACCGATCGATCGAGCTACGACTGCCGATCTTCGTGGGAGGCTGGCATGATTAATATCATGAGTGTATACGAACTTTTGAACAACCGTACATCGCCTCGATTATCAAGGGGAAAGGGGAGAAACCAAAGAGAAAGGGGAGAGAGAGACATAGAGAGATGGGGTTGAGGGTGAGAGCAGCAGTCATAAATACGCACGCGCCAGGGTTTATGCAATGGAGGGGTTGATGAAGAACTGAATTGCGCAAGCGTTGGACAGAGGGTGTAAAAGCTTGTCGGGAGTGCCCGTTCCCTCGGCAAATGGCTTTTCGGTAATGCAAACGCGGCCAAATTTCATCATACAGCGAATCCCATATTCCATTCGATAAAATAAAACTACGCTTCTCTTCCTCTTTTTTCCTCTCTTTCTCTCTACGTTGCTGAAATTTTGTCGTTCATTGTGATGCAAATCGCTCTTAATTTGGTCACGAGAAATAATTTTTCGCACGAGATATTGTGAATGTCGAGTCTTTCGCTATTCAGTCAATTAAAACTATGCAAAACGCTGTCTGAAAAAATTGCACAAAATAAAACTCCATTGTGCAAATAAAATGCATACTATTTTATAAAAAAAAAAATTTGTTTATATTAAAAAATGATTATTAAAAATTACAACAAAATCATTATGCTTTCTTTACGATAAAAAATAGGCCTCCTTTATTATATTTAAACTAACAATAAGATCTTCATACGTTATCAAATAGCTGACTAAATAGCTCGTACGAACGTGAGAGTTTAAAAAGTCTATAAAGTAAACGGCAAACGCGTTTATCTCATAGCGGCGATCTCATCTAGCGACGATCAACGACCATGAACGATAGCGTAAATATATGTGAAGTCTATCGATCGCTTTTTTTTTATACACATATGCGTGGGTCTATTTGTTTCTGTAACGTTAGGTATTCCTTAACGAACGTCGTGACGAACGATTTCTTAATGAGTCACGTCATGGATGAAGGTAAGGATCGATAGATATCGGATGCAATGATATATACAGAAATGGTTTCTGTTTGCGTCACATTTCGATATTACAAGATATAAAAGATAGGCGAATGGCGTAGAGTAAAGGAGCGTCGTTGTGGAACAAAGGAAATAAGAGAGAAAGAGTCATTGGGGAGAAGCGAAAAGGGACAAGGGAGACAAGGGGTGTAATCTAATGGTAAATAGCACGTATGCATATAAGGGTCAGTCGAAGTGCGTCAGTGGCGTAGGAGATTGAATACTGCTTATCAACGTTCATGAAATAAGCAATTTTGATAAAAGATTTTGGACGATATATTACATAACAGAGTAAATGTATACAGAGAAATATATAAAAATATAGTCCGATCTCAGTTCAATTCTTATTGATACTACGCTTCTTTGCATATATTTATTATGTTATATGTTATAATATATCCAGATTTTCTGCATAATTCAAAAACATAAAATGTTATATAATATCATAATAAATTATAATTATAGTAAATTATTATTAATATCATATATATACATATACAGTATATATGTACACTAATTAAAATTCTTGTTTCAGTTTACTAAAGAGTAACAAACAGTTATATTAAATTTCAGAAATTACATTTCTCTTCGTTATTAACTTATTATCATAATAATATTTTATTATAACTATAATATAATGTTATATAACATTGTTTATAATTTAAAATTATGCAAAAAATCCGATAACAAATTTAATATTTGACTCGATTTTCTTTGCATTCATGTATCATCTTAAATTTGTACATTTACATAAATTTGAGACACTAACAATAAATTTCAGAAAGAGAAAAAGAGGAAAAGAGAAGAAATAACTTATCAAAGTCTTGACACATTTAGAAGCGTCAGCTAGAAATAACTAATGAACGATGAAAGAAACTTATGCCTATCCTTATATCCCCGTTCTCTTTTAACATAACTTGTTACAATTATAGTCTCTATAATTTCTAGAAAATAATTTACAAGCACAAGTCGCTGTACGTCGCAATCATGACGTCGACGTTGATGTCGACATCGAAGTGCCCTAAAGATATACCTCATCAAGTTGGTAGTAACCACTTGTAAAACTCACCGATCCCCAACGATCGATCGGCGCGGGTTATAGTGGCCCACCCTACGTCTTAATCGCCAGAAGAGTCTAGACACCTCTTCCAGAGGAGGTCGCATAAATTCCGTGAGAGGACGGCGCAGCGGATAATTTACGGGGGCGCTCGTCCTCTTTGTGCCATTCCATCCCGGGCGACGGCCGCGCCTCCTTCCTACGCCACTGCGAGGGTAGACCGAGGGGTGCCAGCGTCAGACGGAGCCGCCAGCCGGGGTTTGGGGGGATGCTCGGGGGAGACACCGGGGAGAGGGGTCTTTCGAATATCGATCTCTCCGCGTTCTCGCAGTCATTCACTCTCTCTCGTGCAGTTCCACGCTCGTCCCTCTTCCCACTCGTTTTGCGCACCCAGTACTCCCACAGAGTAATGGAAGGGGTGCGGAACAGGATGCGGAGAGACGGCCAAAAGGGGGGTTTTATCCGGAGGTCCCAGCCAAAGCCCGGGGGAGGAGGGCATTCACCAGGGAACGCGCGCCACCACCAACTATCGTCACTACTACCACCACCACCACCACTAACCGACATCCAGAAAAATATCCTCCGAGATCGGAGGGAAATTGGTTTACCGGATCCTGCAGCGCGACGTTTATACAGAATTATTCCCCATTCGTCTTTTAGTCTTTTCATTCCTCTTTGTATCATTTAATTTGCATCCTATCTTTGGAAATTCGTTTCATCGTAGTCGATTTTCGCGACTATTATATATAGTTTTAGGAAATCGAGAACAAAGGAAACCATTATATGAATGAAATAACTGAATCCTGTACGGTCCAGTATACTCAATATACTCTACTTGTGTTTGTGGGTAAGTACCAATATCATCTAAGTAGATGTTCTTCTCTTTTTCGTGAAGAAAAATATTAGAAAAATGGAAGATAAAGTAATTCAGTGTTATAACAGTGTTATAAAGTAATTCACTATTATAAAGTATGTCCCAATATGATCTAAAAGCTACTTTTTCTTAAAATCTTCTCACTAATCATGTAAATATTTGAAAATGTTCCATATTTTTTAAAAATATATTCCAAAATATTTTCACTATTTTGAATCTTCAGTTTTTAATTTTGGATCCAACAAAAAATTAGAAAAAAATCACAAAGCTTAGATAAGATCCTCAAATAGGATCCGGTTACTTTATTTGATATCGCAGAGTGCAATATATTATTTTATCATTGTTGATATGATTAGTATCAATCATTTATTTAAGGCATCCATTTTTCATCGATGTATTAAAATTACATATATCAATATCGGCAACAGACCATTATTCTCATATAAGTTGTATGCTCTCTAAATTCTTTAGAGTAGAATTTCACTCTAAAGAGTGAAAATTGAGTCAGTTTAAAAAAGGAGTGGCCCAATTTTCAATCTTGAAGAGTGAGATTTCATTCTTCAGAGTGAGCTTTTATTCTAAAAATTTTAGAGAACTTGCTTTATACGTGGCATTCGCCACGCGTCTCAATTCATTTACTCTATATCGATCTTAAAATTCATTGTAAGGCGATGACAAAAGGACGGATAAGTGGCCAAGTTCATTTTGCCCGTGAAAATTATGAAAATGTCTTGAGACGATTCGCGTCCACCCACGTCTTCCTTCTTCAATCTCCCTTTTCTTCAATCTCGAGTTATCATTCTAAAGCGCAATTTAGCCAAGGGTAGATATCGCACATCTTATCGGCCATGTTGCAAACGCGTTTATAGGATATATTAAGCATTGTGCGGATCTAAGAATAAGACTACATACGTGTTTCAGAGATCACATCTCAAGAAAAGTGACGCAAGTAAAAAAGTGTTAAATTATTCAGAAGAGAGAAAAGAAAATTGTATTTTAAAATTACGACAGTACTAAATAAAGTCAAATAGAACTAATCACAAATTGCTTGTTTCAAATTTCAAGTTTTAAAAATAATGTAAATGTTAATTTGTTAATAATATTATATTATAAAAATCATTAAAAATTACTCCTATTTTGATTTGTATCATTTTCAATTCTTTTCTATTTTCTATTTGAATTCAACTATATCGTGTTTTTTCCAATATTGAAGCCGGATATATTCAGAACATAACACGAAATTCAAAAAATTCAAATGTATTATGTTTCTTACGAGAATACGATACAATTACGTATCTATCCTTCTCGCTTGTTTCTTCTTTCGAGGAATTACATAAGTACGCCAACTAGTGAAATAACAAGGAAAATGGACGATCCTCGGGATCTCGTTGGAAATAACGTGACTGGCTGCTAACTAGCGTCTGTTTAAACATACCGTTTGGCTACGTAAAATTTTAATTTTCAGTGTTGAGTAACAATCTAATTAACTCTAATTGGATACTATAAAGAACAACTACATCTGGGGCAAAATCTTCTTACCGATCTCCAAACTTAAGATTCTTATTTTGGAGAATTAATTTCTAGTTGTTATCGATTCAAAAAATTCATTATAGTTATATAGAGAATCAGGTAATAATGGTCACGCGATAAGTCTACACGCCTACACAAGGATATCAAATACAGTTTTCGTTTAAAACACAAGGCTGACAGTAAATTAAGAACATCGTCCTTTAGACATTCAGATCGTTTGCGCTCTCAAATTATTCGCAACAAGATAATTTCATTTTATAGATGAAACAGAATTCAGAAATATATATCAGCATATTCTATAAATAAAAAAAGGTCATTGCACCATCGTGTTCAATTCGTTCCAAAGTAGACTTCGGAGATAGGTATTTTTATTTATTCTTGTAAACAAGTTCGCGTTATCTATCAACCTATCTGAAACAGTTTGCGGTGCAAGATAACCGCGTTGCTCGAGACGCATATCGATTCAACAAACCAAGGAAACCAGGATGGACTCGGCGACAGTGTCGCCCAGTAAGCAAAGTCGCTGTTCGCATGGTCCAGTTCGGAACAAGTCCCGTCGTGTCTCGCCGTCATGTCCGAGGATACCGGTATGTATTATACATGCATGCTCTTTATACGATGCCTTCAAAGCGAGGCTCACGGGACTCATTCGTGACTGCACGCGCTATCGCCGACCTGTCACGCGTCCGCACACGTTCTCGATGGATCTCGCTCGCGATCCGTCAAATCGATCGAATCCACTTTGCGAGGGGTCACGCGAGGATCATCACGCGCTTGCTGATTGCACCCTGACATTTCCCATCTCGCACTAGCTCGAAACTCCATCCGGGAGACATAGGCGAACACCAACACAGGTTGTCAATCACTTGGCTGGAATGATCGAGGTAGTTCTAAAGACGTAACAATTGACGGCTTTTTCGAACCGCTTCGCGCACGCGAAATCGAAAACATGGAAGTTTAAGTTAATTGAACGCGCTTTATTTACTGATAAAGTATACATGTGATTTGAGGGTGTGTGGAATTGTATCGCGAAGTCAATTTCCGCTGAGCACAAAAGATGTTTTTCTCTTATTATTTTTCTTTACTTCGTGACATTGATCATTTGAAATCAGTTATTGATTATTATTGATATTTCTGAGAAAACGATAATGCCTGATCTTATTCAGAAAATTTAAGTTATTAAAATTTTAGTTTTTTTCTTACAATTGATTATTTATTAAAGTTCACGATTGCAATGGTTATTTTTATTGTCACGAAAAGTAAGTTATATTTTAGTAATGTAAAATAATTTAACAATCTGTAAGTATTTCTAACGTCTTATTGATTCCAATTCCCCACCTCACAACAACATTATTGCGGCAGCAATTAAAGCAGGACGGAGTGTAAGAAATGGTCATTGTTATTTTTCCCAAACGTATAACAGAAATTGTGGAAAATTTAACGTGAGTTTGCCGATGTATACATATTATTCCACAATTTTTTTTCTTTTTCTCTGTTATTCTTTCCTTTCTTCGCTGTTTTTCAAGCTTTCTATTTTTTTCATTTTTAATTGCACTTTCCGGACGCCATTCTCGTCTCTATTCGATTTTTCGTTCCAAGAATTTCACAATTATTTGTTCAACGTAATCACAGTGAAACGTGTAAATAATCGTTTACTTCCGAAAATTTAAAAAATTCTATTTCTTTATAAGGTACATTACTGTTAACAAAAACATAATTTATCAAGTGATAGTTTATCAAACGGATAAATAATGAGTATTATATAAACAGTATAATTAATTTAAAATTTTTAACATCTTAGATAAAATAGAGAATTTATTTATTAAAAGTACCATTTAATCTTTCAAATATATACAAGAATGCAACGATAAATAACATTCTAATTCAATTATAAATGTTATAGTGTAAATTCCAGTCACAGTAATCATTAATGTAATTAAATAGATTCAGATAAACTATTGATAAACATATAATTTTAGTTATTAAAGTTTATTATTCTATAAAGCATTAAATTATTTAGAATATTAATCGATTTAGTCTATTTAGTTAATCATAGACATTAGTTAAATGAAACTTTATTCTAAAATATCACAAATAATCGATATTTTACGTTAGTTCGAACACCATATGTGTTACTATAGATAGACAATGGCTAGACAAGACATTCAACGTTTCTTGAAAAGACAAAGTGCAACTCTTTTGTTTCCGCGCGTTGAATCATTGATGGATCCAACTATACATATCTTGATGTAAAGTTAGTATACCTTTCTTCTATACAGCGGAGGTCTATAGCTGTTGTATGTCTTTAGAGCCATAAAATGCGACATTTGCGTCGTCGAGTAGCGGATGCGATAGAAATAGATATCGAGTGATCTGGATTTAGATCTGTAACTATTGCTATATCAAATGAATTGTGATAAGGACAGGGTTTCCATGAAGAATTTGATAAAAATATTTAATAGAATTTTATAGAATTTTATCTTGTATACAGTTGAAGCATCTTGAATCATCATCTATTTTTATTTTTATATAAAATATATATCTTTTTCCCGAATCATAAAAATATTCTTTATAATTTTACTGCTGCCTTTACTCCCAACAATAATATAATCAATATATATATAATCATAATACATATGTAATCATATATTCCTATATAATTCATTTACGACATCTTTTGTTGGAAAATTAATTGGTTTGTGTAAATAATTTAATTGAATTATTGTTAAAAAAAGAATTTTATAATATAACTTTTTTTATTATTTTAATATAATCGATTAAAAAAATCAATAAATATCTAGTAAATAATTATACAATGAAGTAAAAAAGATTTAGTCTTGTATAATTTCATTTATAAAATTTCATTCGATAAACCGTATATATAACGAAAAATATACGTGATAGGTGAGCGTGACGAGAGAGAGAGATTCTCAGAATATATATATTACTCACAGTTAATCGACCTCCAGATAAGGGATGACCTGAGTATCATTATATCTCGGCCGTCAACTCGTGTAATTCGTGTAAAACTATCACGACTTTCGTCAGGCCTCTCAATCACACTCCGCTCTAATCTCAGCATCTGTTGAATCGAATCAATCAGAGAGCAAAGTTGACTTCCGAGCTTGCCCCGAATGAGCTCGGATCTCGTGACCGCAAACGAGTTTTCTCGGTTTAGCCTGGATTTCGATGTGGGCGAGGGAGAAATCAGACTGTTCAGAGATCGCACGTACGAGATCTTTGACGCCTGACAGCCACGCGAGTTCTCGCCACGAGCCGATTCCCATTTCTCTTGCACGGACTCGTTCACGCGAGATTGCGAATCAGGCGAGATTCCACGAAGGCGGACACGAGCGTACAGCAAAATCGCGAGGTTCTGTTCTTATCACGTAGGTGGTAACATGTTCCACGATGTAGAGCCAGTTTCACAAAGCCGTCAGTCTCTCATTGTCTTCCGTCCGATAGGTCGTTTGCTCTATGCTTGCTCTCTCGTCAGATCGTTCAGAAGACACAGTCGTTTACCGATAGTGCCCGATAATGTCGCTTTGTCGATAGATCGTTCCGTGTCATTTGACAAGTCATGGTCTTCTCTTGCGAGGGACGAGACCCCTTGGAGCACACCAGTCTTTATCAGCGCGCCGGTCAGACATTCCTCCACTTGACGACTCACATGAATAACGAATATTTCATCGCTATACGTCAAATTATTTAAAAATCACGAATCAATCGTGAAATAATATTGGCAACAATATCTTTTTTTCTCTTATAGAGTGGAATTATCACAATTGTAAAATCTAGCACATCGCTGTATTTAAAAAATGTTTATCTTTCTTGTTTAATCATTTTATTGAATCGCTGTTTGTAGAGAGTGAAGATAGTGATGCCGAGGGTGGTCTGGGCAACGTAAACAAATTGGTGATGCGACCACCTGGCCACAGCGGTAAAGCTAAGAAGGGCCACATTTGCTTTGATGCAACCTTTGAAACCGGCAATCTCGGCAGAGTGGACTTGATTTCTGAATTCGAATACGATCTCTTTATTAGACCTGACACTTGTGGTCCCAGATTACGTCTGTGGTTTAACTTCACCGTAGACAACGTGAAGGCAGATCAACGAGTGATTTTCAACATCGTAAACATTTCCAAGAGCGCTAATCTCTTTCGACAGGGGATGACGCCGTTAGTGAAGAGCAGTACTAGACCGAAATGGCAGAGGATACCACGAGAACAGGTGGGTGACTATTTTCGAAATAATCTATAAAATGACTATTTTCGTCGAAAGTCAATGACTATTTTGATTTAGATTCATCTATAGTAATTTATGAATTTTTAATTATATATATTATTGCATAATATATTTATAGTTTCAAACGAAGAATAATGACGAAAAATAATGTTTGAATTTTCTTCGGTAAAAATTATTAAATTTGTTAGAAATTAATAGAAAAGTAGTTCTAGAAAAATATTTTGTCCCGATTATTTAATTCGCTATTCTAAATTTGTAATTTCAATTTGCAAATGTATATCAATCTAGCAAATCTAATCAATTGTATCTATCGCATGATTGAGAACGCAGACATTTCAATTTATTAGAAGTATCTTCATGTTAAATCTAGAGAAACTGTGCCAGGGTTCTTCCAATATCCAATTACTCCATCAAGCAGTAGTCTTTTAAATTAGAATTATCAGCATCGTGAGTCGTTTGATGATTATCACGTTGCCTACGTTTAGCTGACAGCTAAATTTGATCAATCAATATCATCATAAAATGATATAATATATTATCACTAAAATATGATTTTGACATAAATCACTTTTTTACTAAAGAAGTCTCTCTTGATATTTACTTTATAGTTCGCGTTATTAATTTATTTATATTTTTATCAATTTCATTAAAGTAATAGAAGCATTGATTCGTTTCCCCTCGATGTTATAGGTATTCTATTACAGATCTGCGCAGCATCAAAATCACTATGTACTGAGCTTCGCTTTTGCGTTCGACCGTGAAGATGATGTTTACCAATTCGCTCTAACGTATCCATACTCGTACACGCGTTACATGGTGCATCTCGACAACTTGTGCAGCAGATTATTGTACACAAAGCGAGAGACGTTGGCTGAGTCGATCCAAAAGAAGAATGTAGAGCTGGTGACTATAACTTCCGACCTCGAAGACGTGGAACGACCTAGAAAAGTGGTCGTCGTCCTCGCTAGAGTTCACCCCGGTGAGTCACCGTCCTCCTTCGTGTGTCAGGGTTTGATGGATTTCTTAGTCAGTGCGCATCCTATCGCTCAAGTTCTAAGGGAATACGTGATCTTCAAGATAGTGCCGATGCTGAACCCCGACGGTGCCTTTCTCGGAAATTACAGGTGAGAACGGGAACAAAATTAATAAACATACTTCAATAAACTGGTAACAAATAAAAACTCGAATTAAAAATCGTATAAATAAATTTGCTGTTTCCGCGAACGTTCTTCTCATCGTAGATGAGAAAATAATGTTCAATCATTTTACACGCTAAGATCTACCGTGATGGGATTAGATCTGAATCGATCTTGGAATTGCATCTCCGAATGGATTCACCCTACCTTGTTCGCGACTAGAGCGATGCTAAAGTCGCTCGATAAGAACGCACAGACACCATTGGATTGCGTGCTGGATTTACACGCTCATACCAATGCCACGGGCGTCTTCGTCTATGGAAATACATACGAAGATGTCTACAGGTAACTCTAATTCATTTCAAATAATCTGAAATATTCCGTCAAGCGAAATTCGAAAGAACTGGATTACTCTACCGTGAAGCGAGAGAATAGAAATCCAACGTTAATCGCTCTTGTAACCTAATCTGACTCATGGCTGCCAGCCCCTCAGGTACGAGAGGCACATTGTCCTGCCGAAATTGCTAGCTCAGCACGCGGAGGACTATGAACTGGGCAACACTATGTATAATCAAGATCATAACAAAGCCGGAACTGCCCGCCGTTATCTATGTTCTATCCTAAAGGAACATGTCAATTGCTACAGTATCGAGGTTTCCATGTACGGTTACAACAAAAAGGGAATACCGGGTATAATGCCGTATACGGAAGAAGGATGTATCCTTCACAATCATATTAATCACATCGTTATAATATAAAATCTCTCTCTCTATCTCTCTCCACGCTAAAATTAATATTGCTATGTAAATACCAAAATTAAAATTGTTGAAATTTTATTAAGAATTTCGATATTATTAATTATACATGCGTCAAAATTTGAATGTAGATTTAGATTCAATCAAGAGAAAGCTGAACCCTTAACGGTCGGAGTCGAATCCAGATTACAGACTGGGTCGCAATCTGGCACGCGTTTTTCTAGAATATTACAAGCTCACTGGGCTTATCCCGTCGGGGCTTCCCGATCAGCCATCAAGCAGACGAGCGCGTCAATCTCGGCAGAGACATCGTCTTCCAAGGGAACCCAGACCAAGAACAGTTCGAATTCCGGCAACCTTGCATCTTGCCAGCATTTACGAGTAATTATTTTAATTTTTTTTCGCATATAGATGTAACGTTCATTCTAAATGTCCCAGATTTTTATCATGGAGATTTTTAACATGGATTAATTTATTATCCCTCAACTATTATAGATAAGGAAACTACACCTAAGTTCTAAAGTGTCGTGTTCCAAGTACAAAATACAAGTAAACTTCCGCGATTGGAAGATGAAAGTTCAAAGCTTTTTACCTACAATTTAGAACTTTATCATATCAATCGTATAGATTATTCAATTTCTACAAGATACAATATTTTTAGAATATTATATGAATATTAAAATGGGTAATTAATATTCAAATAACTAGGATCAAATTCTAGGATTGTTATTGTGTGCTTACAGGGATTGTCTAAAAATTTTCACTTCCAAATATGATCCGTTGCTGTAATTGAGAGCTAAAAATAAAATTAAGAAGAAAGAATGTCATTTCAATATTGATTTATCGCAATAATCCGCTCTCTCGAGTATGGACAAACTTTCGCGTGGGGATCAATTACTTTAATAAAATAAGATAAGATAGTTCTATTAAACTAAAGAGTTTCCTAGACGCAAAGATTTTCTTGAAAACGTAAAACATTAGTTTAGAACTCAGGACAGAACGATGCATATTATTTACCGAGGTAAATTAAACTCGGCTAATCTCGGGTCAAATCGTCAGGTACTTCCGGGAGAAACCTGAGCAGCTCCCGAGCGCTCGTTACCGATCGATGAGTAGTACGCGGATGGGACAACAGCCCGGAACCGGAATCGCGAGTGAAACTGGAACGGGCGTCGGCGGCGGGTGCAAAAGCCCGAGCCACAGGTTCCGGAGCCCCGGGGCACCGCTCGACAGAGTGCAGACCCTGACGGGGCGACCCGCCGAGCCGCGGCTCACCATTATCGATTTCAATCAGCTGACGCGGGGTGGTTTGGAGCTCGCAGCCAACAAGAACAGACCGACGGTCCCATACAAGAAGGTCGTCAAGTCACGCAGATAGCGATCGTCTCGTCTCGGTTAAGGAGAGATCCTTCGCGATCCTCCAACGTCTCCAAGGACACGAAAATCAAATGTCACGGTATGCCATTATTATTTTCTGTATACGAGACGGAAATTGCCTTCGTGACAACATTAAGCAATATTGGTTCACATGAATGTAGGTGGTCGAATAGATGAACCATCGCATCGATTCGCACTACTTCTGGCGACGGAAATAGAAGACTTGTCGACGAGAAAAGAAATGCGGAGAATGCATTTCGGATGCTGCCTTTTAGCCAATTGTTAATGCTAGTGTTTGTTATTAAGAAACTTCCGCTTCTTTTACATCGAATAATTCAATAATATCAATGTGCACAATATTATTCCTCATATTATGCAATAGTCATTCTTTCAAATATCAATATTTTACATTCTCTTACATCATTCTCGCTTCTTTTCTCGAAAAGAAAAATAATCTATAATTAATCTTTATCTCACATTGCATGATTCTAATTTCTAATATATATAATATTATATATATATTATATACTTGTTGCATTTCTTATAATTGTTTATAATATTGTTGTCAATTTTACATATATGATATTATAACTGTTACATTCAAAGATAACTATATTAATAATAATGATAAAAATATATTATAATTATTAAACATTAAATAAAACAAATAGAGCATGCTGTCACATTATTAATACACCATTTCCGAATTGCATCTAGAGCTTTACATAAACTCTGTACGATGAAATTTGTATCAGACATAAAATTATGAAGATTATTAGAGATTTTAGATTATATCAAAATTATAAAAACCTTTAATACAATCTCAGATAATTCATGTCAGTTGTTCAATTTTAAGAATGGAACAAAAAGAAAACATCATTAGTGTCTAATAAATAATTCTTTAATTCGGAAAATTCTTTAATTTTTGTCAAACTGATTTAATACGACAAATTATAATTAGGAGAGATGGTCGTAATCGATCAATACACAAAATTGTTTTCTTGGGAACACTCTGCATTTCTTGATCTCTGATAAGCACACCGAACACAATCACACGTGGTGATCGACCATACGCTCCAGATGCATTTCGGGAAGAGTCGTGGCGCCTCCGCCAATAACGACGATCGACAGTGATTGGCATTGCACGTACCTGAGAGAATGCGACAATTACGTTTCCTAAAACTCAACGAACCCGCGCTCGAGGCACGCGCGCATTGGATGGACAGAAGACGCAGGTACTACGCGATGGCCCGTTTACACCTGGCTGGATACGGACCTAAGGATACTCGGAGACTGGGCGCGGGTGTGTCCGTGCATTTAACGTACGACGACGACAAACGGCGACGGAAGAGTCGGTATACTAATCGTGTTTGCGAATTCAACCACGAACAACGAACAAACGAATTTACCGTGTGCGTGTATACGTGTGGGTGTACGCTTGTACGTGAGATAGTTGTGCGTGAGAGAGCCGGTCGGTGTCCCTGCGTGACTAAGGTGTGCGTGTGCGTTTCCGAATATACGTATGTGTGTATTTATATATTATATATATATATATATATATATATATATTATGTGTGTGTATGTGTGGGTATATGTGTGCCGATATATTTGCGGTTATATATTATACGTGTACATGTCAATCAATCGGAACTGAAGAGGAACTAAAACGGAAAGAAATGAAACTATAGCGAAAGAAGGGAGCAGACAAGCGGCCAGTAGCTCTTCTACCCCTGGGCTCGAGACGGAACTGGCCCGTGGGCCGCTCCGACGGGCTCGCGAGAGTCGCGAGACTTCCTCCCCCTCCCCTCTTCCGTCCTCTCAACGTTCCTTCCCCGCCGCACCGCGCCGTTTGTCGTAACCCTCTTCTCGCCCAACCACCGTCGGTGTCGCTACCACACCGCTTGCCCTGCATCCTCGGTTCTCGCCACCCCCGTTCTCACCCTCCCCGTCATGAGTGCGTTTTCCTCCCCTCCGTGCCGCTCCGTGCATCCCCCTCGAGCCGGGCCGGGCACTTCGGGGTTGGACGAGAGCAGGGCGGTGGTCGTTGAACCAGGTATATAACGACTGACGTCTGCGTCGTGCCGATTGCGCAGCAGTGAAACCGCCCTTACACGGCCATGCTCCCCCTCCCCCTTCTCCTCCCCCCTTCCTCCCGGCCTCTCGTTCGTCCCTCGTTCAGTGCGCGGGGTTGCAACCCCCATGCACCCTATCGCTATAGCACAGCTCTTGGACGGTTCCCCAGGAGAAGCGACTAACCTTCGCGAACCCGGGCGGTACGGGCAGCGAGGGGATGACAGAGGGGGTGCAGAAAGCCTGAGGGGGATGGATCTGTGCAACGGAGTCGACGTGTACGCGCGCCAGTGGATTAATATCGCGCTGGATTCGCTAGGGCCGAAATGATTTAATTCCAGCTTTTAATCCAAGCTTTTATCTACGCTTCGATATTAGATTATACATTGTCGGCGCCTCTTTTCCGCAATTTCTTTTATTCGCCGGCACGGAAATGTTGCCAAGAAACCGGCCGACTTGAGCTTCCTTCGTTCTCTTTTTTTGTCAAAATTAGATGTTTTATTACCCCCGCGAGAGAGTTTACTGTTGAAATTGTCGATTAATCGCATCACGCTTACGCGACGCTTTTAATTATGTTTCGCATTAAAAAGTAAAAATTTTGCAAATGAGACGCACCATAACTCACAATATTTCCCTGTTCATAGAAATATGATAAGTTTCGCTTCATACAAGACGCTGAATGACATATTGAAAGATTTCTAACGTAAAGCCATTAAACGCGAAGGATAATTAATGGTTCTATTCTATTGAATTGATTCTTCAGATTTAAAATTGAAGTACCCCGTTTTTTAAATAATCCCAATGAACATTATTACATATATGAAGAGATTCATCGAAAAAAATTCAGAGTCTGAAATAAATATAAGTTTTCTTTCTATATATCGAAATATAAAAATAAAAAAATAAAAAAGAAAATATCTCTAGAAAATGGGAACGGAGGGAACGGTAAGGAGAACAAATATCCATTAAAGAAAAGAAAAAACTCGACTATTTTTCTCTTAATGAATCTTTTCCTAGACTTAAGAACTCTAAGCTTCAAACATCAGCTTCGTTATCCTAAGGATGATCATCTTATTTACTACAAGATAATGCTGTCTTCGTGTTTTTAGCACGAAGCTGTTAATAAAATGAGCGAGATCATTCACGCTAATTAAATTCCATCCCATAAATGAATATTAAAAATTTGAGAAACTCATTATTATTATTCTATTTTCGTGATACCTCTTTAAATTATTATTATGTTTCAGTTCTCATGGAATACATTGTTGTAATGTTATGCTCGAACTTATCAAGCTTTCTTTTCTGATCTTATTTGGAGTTTCGTACGTTAAACTGAACGAAAAATAATCATTCTGTCTTTTTATGAATCATATATTTTCATGTATATATCACATATGTACATGAAGATATAATATACATACGCGTATATTCGTATATTTTTATTACGTGATATGTTATTTTATTATGCTATTTATTATATATTTTATATATCTATATATTGTAAATATGTAATTTTTATCGTATATGTATATTGCAGAGTTCGCTAATGTACTCATATATGCAAAAATATATTACATATCGTATACATTTTTCAATTGAATATATGAGACATTCATATTCATTAATAGCATGTTGATGTGTATTTATCTAAAATAAGAGGATTCATATTTTTATAGTAATGATCAATTTAAACATGATGCTGCCATCTAGCGTAATCTTGTGAAATCTTCTGAGAGTTTCCATTACATCTTTATAAAGCGGTATGGCGATAATTTATAATCAGACTTTCAAATGTTAAACAATAAAATATTGTATAACAATATTTTTATTAGCCATGCTATTTTTATGCACTTTTCTGATACAGCGAATAAAGCACATAAATAAAATAAGCGTATAATTAAAATGATTTTTGTGTATGCGCACTAAAAAATATTTTTTAGTATTGTTATAAGGATGTCATATTTGCATAAAAAAGTTAAAAGCCCTTTTCAATTTGAAATACAGTGAAAATCATTGCGACATCGAAGAAAATTAAAATTTTTTACATGCTAATTAAGTGAAATTCTAATTCAAATAATTTTTTTTGTCTAAATACAATTATTCTCCTGATAATTTTGACACTTTTTTAATCTAAAAAATAGTGTTTCAAAATACTTTATATCGTACAATACATATACAAAGTTTTATATATTCGTGCACAGCACTTCGATGGCTCGTATAGTTTTCAGCGCGCATGCTTGTGAACAGTGATAGGAACTTTTAAAATACCTATGCGTTCCAAAATTTATCGAGAAAAAATTTATAATTATCCGCAAGTGCATGTTAAAAAATTGACTGCTTTCTTTTTAGGAAATAAGGCGGTATTCATAGTCCGTTCTTATTTCAAGACTATTTTAAGGCTACGTTTCAAAACTTTCTCTCCGAGGAAGATTTTATTCTATAGCTATAGTATACGTGTACTACATATTTCGAGTAAAATTTTCCTCAGAGAGGAAGTTTTGGAACGTAGCTTAAGTAATATTTTAAGACGCTAAACAGCTCTCTAATTGATTCGTGACTTCTTAAGGCTGTACTTAAAACGGTCTTGAATAAAGATATGACTGTGAATACCAGCCATAATGGCCGCAGCACAGACTCTTGCATAACACATAATGCATAGTGTATAAGGAAAGCAACCAATCGAAATTCTTCTTTTCCATGGAATGATAGGAAAGGAAAGATTCTGATTAGTTGATTCGTTTATGCATTATGTGTTATGCAAAAGTCTGTGCTGAGGCCTTAATATGCATTTTACAATCACGCATTTACCAATCACAGTCGTCAATTTTAAATTTCTAACTTCTGATTTATGACTAATGGCTTATTGTAGAATGACCATAAGACGGGGAACACAGATTCTTACATAACGCATAACACATAATGCACAAGAAAATGAACCAATCAAAATTCTTTATTTCCTTTCTTTCCATAAAATAAAAGACTCTGATTAATTGATTTTTTTATGCTCATAAATCTATTAAAGAAAATCATCCAATTGTATTTTACGTTTGTCTTTATGACAGAAATGTGATTGGATAATCTTCTTTATGCATATGATTATGCGGCTATGCAAGTTTGTGGAATGAACCTAAGGCCGCACTTCGATGCATGTAATTCCATATAGGACATTACTGACAACTTATAAATTCATCATGAAAAAACTTATACGATAATATATACCTATTAAAATATATTAACCAACCGAGAGCCATAAATTGTTTTCCATAAAAAATATTTTGATTTCCATAGTTTTTAAATTTATAAGCTGTATTTATAGTCGGTTCTTATTTCAAGATTGTCTTAAGGCTACGTTCCAAAACTTCCTCTCCAAGGAAGATTT